CGAGGTCAAAGGTCAAACCCTGAAACACGCGACAAGAGCTCACGTATATTATTCACGATTATGTAATGTAATACAATATATAATGCAATACGTAATACAAATACTCGGTAGGAGAGTAATCGTACATGAACGACGATCACTGATAACTTCATGTCTTCAAAGTCCCACGGAACTATTACATATCGAAGAGAGAGAAAGTTGATAAAAGATGTAATCCTAGGCTAATCATGTTAACAAATAAATAACGTAACTCTACTCAATGACAATGTGATGCGACGTGACGTAACCGGGCCTACTCAACTTATTGTAATGTTACGTGACCGTCCGTACTCTGCTGGGTTATTATATTATTTTGCGCCGCTCAAAAAACAAAACAAACTATAATAAAGTCACTAGCTGTAGCTGATGCTAATCAGTAGCCTAATCAATGAATGTGTGTCTTGTTACAGTTTGACCACAGGCCCTTGGAGGCTCAGCCTGAAGTTTCAAGAAGAGTATAAGAGCGAAGCGGTTTGCTTCAGTCTTATATCCTACTCTTCTTTAGCTCCAAGAAACGGCCTTTGCTAGGGGTTAGGCCTTAGCGGACCTAAAGGTGTACATTGACGTTAGTCACACAGCCTGGTCGGGTTAACTCTTCTTGAAACTTGAGCCTCCAACTTCCAAGGGCCTGTAGTTTGACCGTAGGCTGCACGTGATTCAGTGGTAGTTATATACTCTGTGGCCTAGCCATAGCCAAAGAAAAATCCTATTCATATTACACGGCTACAATACCAATAAGGAATACCTTTTATGATGTTTTCTAACAGCACAAACTGAACGAATGGGAGTTTCATCGGTTCTCTTGCAATGTTTATCTGTGGTGTGTCTTACGAATTAATGCAGGCGGTTTTTTGTGTGAAGTTTGGACCTAAAAACGAGCACTGTGCGGCGTTTTCATGATTACTATTTGACGTAGTCGGGAAATTCAAGCTCTTTAGTACAGTTGCGATCAACTTCTACTCGTGATCGCACCTCGTAAACGCGAGAGAAGTTTTAAGGATTTTAAGGGAATGTAACTGACGACAAAATTCCCTAAGAAATAGGACAGGACTCGCGAGATCGCGCGAGAGGTCAAGTCAAGGGTCAATAATTCCAAGATGTCAGCGACCATTGAAACGAGTGACATTCAAGTGAACTGTGAGGATTTTGCACAGTTTCAGGTTAGGAACCCGCCGGTCCACTTACACCAAGCAGACAATTGCCTGCCCCTGTATTATACGCCTGATCCGCTACGCACACGTATCGCGAAATATCTCGTTACGACGGAATTTCGAACCGGTTCAAATTACCGGCGTGCGCGCGTCTCTCGGTAACGCAAAATTAAACTTGAAAATTACGAAGTAATAGTAATACTAATACTAATAGTAATAGTAATAGTAATACGAAGCGACCACGAACGCTCACAGAACTTGCTATTGTATATTATCTGAAAGTCATCTATCGGCCTGTCATATCTAGCACTGTAGCAGACTAGCTGTCAGTGTCATTTCCCGGTTAAATACCCGTCACTTCTACTTCTACTACTACTAGAAGTAGAAGTTAGAACTAGTAGTACTGCTGAGAGGGTCTATGTCCCCCGGGGTACTGCCGGAACGTACCCTGGTACTATCTAATATGCTGGACCGTACTTCGCCTACTCCACTAACGAGTCTGGGGAGTCGCCTACGCCTACTCCCTAACCCGAACCCTAACCCTAAACCTAACCCTAATCCTATCAAATAGTGACCAGGGTACATTCAGGTATACCGAACCGTACCCAGGGTACGTTCCGGCAGTACCCTGGGGGACATAGACCCTATGAGCAGTAGTACTACTAGTACTAGTTTCAATTCAATTCAATTCGAACACTTTATTTACACTTACACATATTACATTTAGCAGAAATGTGTAACATGAAACTAAATAAATACAAGTGATGGAGGGCGAAATAACAATTAATACAGTAGTAGTAGGCTGTTGCCAGTGTTGTTGTCTAGCTTCCATTTACCAGTTATTAAACTTAAAGCTAAAAACATTGCACGTTAAATATCTGACTGTCATAATTTACTAACTAGCTGTTACCTAGCTATCATATCTACCTAGCTGTCATATTTAGCTAGCTGTCATAAAATGTTACCTGTCAGCGAGTAGAATTTTAACTTTGAACACTCGCATATCTTTTGGCGAGTGGCGCAAATCTTCAACTCGCAACATCCGAAACGCACCGCATTTTTATGTATAATTATCGATTCTTAGTGTATAATATGCTTTTAATTAACACTTTAATTAAAAATGTTATCTTTTTAGTTACTTTATAAAATGATTTATAATGTTGAGACGGCGTTATTAAAACAAGGCTTGACAAAGCGTGAAGAATAGAATACTCTCGCGTCGGGCGATCGCCGCGAGGTTCTTTAATCCTACTCAGTTTTGTAACAGTGCCTGTTTATAATTTTGCAGAAAATTAGGTTGGTCTAGTACCGTTATGACTTATGTGACAACGTGTTACTGTTAAATGCCGGACTGGATATGGGCCGATGTTCGAGTTTTTGATAGTCATCCACAACGGATTGATATGTCACTCCTCACAAAAAGCACGTGGTTATTATTTTCTTACTCGACAATTTCGGAAATCCACTCGTATTTTGCGGAGTGTGCGAGCGTTGATTAATTTCGAACCCTGCCTGTCTTCTACCGATTACCTACCTATCTTATATCTACCTGTCTTCTACCGATTACCTACCTATATTATCGGCCATATTATCTACCCGTCTTCTACCTAGTAGTACCTACCTATCTTATCTACCTGTCTTTTACCTATTACCTACCTATCTTTTCTACCTGTCTTTTACCTATTACCTACCTATATTATCTACTTATCTTCTACCATTACCTACCTATCTTATCTACCTGTCTTCTATGCCATTTACCTAACGTGTCACCTATTACCTACCTATCTTATCTACCTGTCTTCTATGCATTTACCTGTCTACCCATTACCTAACTATCTTATCTACCTGTCTTCTATGCATTTACCTGCTTCTTGTTACCTGCTGCTTCTTCTTGCTTACCTGCTACCTGCTACCTGTACTGTAACAATGTATCACTAAGAAATTTTGGGGATCGTGTGTATTATTTGCTACTAGCTGCGCGGTACCCGCTGCCGCTGGCGTAAAATCGTGCTACTAATTCATGCGGGACACAATAGGGAACATTGGGTAAAAATCGACAATCAACATTGCACACAAATTCAATATTAGAAATCAGTCTAATAAGAAATAAAGCATCGGAAAAAAAACTGTAGTATGGACATTATTATGACAGCACAACCCAAACTTAGAACCCCTGGGAATAATAGTAATATGGTGTACAATAACAAAAAGTTATTATTATGTAACAGCTGTACGAATGGGTGGACTTGTCATTCAAAGGCCTCTTGATAAACAATGGTTTTCGTGTTATTCTCTGGTGGAAATAATGTAGAGATTCCTGCGCGTAATCGAATGTTGAGCTCCCCACGTACAGCTATAACATTGTTAGATCGGTACCACGAATAAAAAGAAATTCCATATAATATAGATAGAACAGGCCAGCGAAGTGGGGTCTGTGATCCACTGGATATTGTCTAGTGACATGCTTGCGCGCAACCATGCACAATTTAATTAAGAAATATTTGTATTGAATCAGAAAATGCATAGATTTGGAATGCGTACAATGCATTCTGAGATCGCAGCAACTGAAACTCAGCCTCTGAACTGCGGAGTGAGTAGTACCTCTGAAACTGCGTCCTGGTTATGCTCTGTTTTAGTATTAATTTCGCGTTTCGCTTTCACGAATAACCAGCAGCTGATGAGATTCAAGGACTTTCTGTCGTGTGGCAGCACTGTTGCAGTGAGTGCCTGAATTGTGTGAAGATTGACAGAACTTAACGGTTTTTCACGGATGTTTCCGGCGAGTTTGACGGTTTGACAGGTTTTGGGACAGTGACGGAACACCTCCCGGGTATAAACAGATGGACAGGCGATCGCGAGGGGGAAATTAATTGAATTCATAACAGGAATGTTTACTCACTTGTTCGCGTGGCTAACCTCAGGGTGTAGTAGGTAACTGTTACAGTCCTTAACCTCTCAACTTGGTTTCTCTGTCTGCCTTTCTTAGTGAACTTGGTTTGATGGTTTGGTTAGTTTTAGTATTGGTTTCGGTTTCACTATAAGCAGCAGCTGGTGAGTAAGGCCAGAAATGAAATTACTCATCTCCTGGTTGTGGTGTGTTATTAGTATTGCTTTCGGTTTACGTATACACAGCAATGATTGAGGGCGTTTCGACGGATTTTTGGGTGAGTTTGACCGGTTTGACAGGTTTTTTTCAAGCTACGAACACTCCCGGGTATAAGAGATGGCCCTGTGAAAAATTGCATCCAGAATCGCAGTTGGGCGGTTTGGCCGCCTATGGAGGGGAAAAGCATACCATAAACATACGAACTCAAATATATATTAGATAGTTTATAGTAATAGTATGCTACCAATGTTATGTTGGACCACAATGCGAAATAAGTGTGTAGCCACGCTTTTTTGGTCGTTTTCATCCTCGATAATTTTCTAGCTGCCATTTTGTTATTTATGCTGTTATCCGATGCTAATGTATGCTTAGTTAATTATCGAAATAAATAAATCTGGAAAAATCTAAAAATCTACCTCATTACCTAGCCTATCTTATCTACCATTGTCTCTCTACTATACCTACCATATTTATCTACCTGTCTTCTACCTATTTACCTGCCTATCTTTTCTACCTGTCTTCTATGCATTTACCTATCTTCTACCTATTACCTACCTATCTTATCTACCTGTCTTCTACCTATTACCTACCTATCTTATGATCTACCTGTCTTCTACCTATATACCTAACCTATCTTATCTACCTCGTCTTTCTACCTATTTACTGCCTATTACTTTTCTAACCTGTCTTCTCTATGCATTTACCTGTCTGTCTACCTATTTACCTTGCCTATCTTTTCTACCTGGCTCTATGCATTACCTATATTCTACCTATTTACTACCTATCTGATCTACCTGTTTCTACCTATTACCCTACTATCTTAGCTACCTGTCTTCTACCTATTTACCTGCCTATACTTTCTACCTGTCTTCTAATGCATTTAACGCTATCTGTCTACCTATTCCTACCTCATCTTATCTACCTGTCTTCTACCTATTTAGCCTACCTATGAGGGTATCTGAGTCTACCTTCTTCTATGCAGTACCGTTCTTCTACCTATTACTTACCTATCTTATCTACCTGTCTTTCTACTATTACCTACCTACTTATGCTACCTGTCTTCTCCCCAACCATTACCTACCCGTATCTTACTACCTGTCTTCTACCCTATTACTACCTATCTTTATCTACATGTCTATGCATTTACCTGTCGTCTACCTATTACCTACTATCTTATCTGACCTGTCTTCCCTATGCTATTTACCTGTCTTCTACCTATTAGCCTACTAATATGATCTACCTGTCTTCTCCTATTACCTACCTATCTTATCTAATGTCTTTCTTTTTATATGCATTTACTGTCTTCTACCGTATTAGCCTACCATATCTTATCTACCTGTCTTCTATGCATCTTACCTGTCTTACACCTATTACCTACCTCTATCTTTTCTACCTGTCTTCTATGCATTTACCTGATTCTAACCTATACCTACCTACTCTTATCTACTGCTTCTTTACCTATTACCTACCTATCTTATCTACCTGTCTTCTATGCGTTTACCTGTCTTCATACTATACCTACCTATCTTATTCTACACTGACTCTTATACCTATTAGTATTACCTACCTATCGTGTATCACCTGTCTTCTATGCGTTTACCTGTCTTCTACTCATTACCTACCTATCTATATCTACCATGTCTTCTACCTATTACCTACCTATCTTAATATACCTGTCTCTATGCGTTTACCTGTCTTCTACCCGATTCACCTACCTGTCTCTTCTTACCTATTGCCTACCGTATCGTACCTTACCGTGTCTTCTACGCTATTAATCCTACCTATCTTATCTACCTGTCTTCATGCGTTTATCCGTCTCCGCGTGGTGCAGGAGCGCTGAAACAGATCAGCGAACGGACGGACGACAAGATCGATCAACGTTCTGAACACGACGATTCGACGCTCGTTCAAGGAGAACGGTGGACGCGAGCGCACGCTGCGAGGAAGCCTGTACCGCGCAGGTACGGTTACTCCGACATAGTTGAGGAGGAGAGGGGAGGAGCAGGTGAGGAGAGGGGAGCGAGAGAGGAGGTGGAGGAGAGTAGGACGGCGAGGCACGTGCTGAGAGCCTGTACGCGGAGTGAGGAGAAGGGAGTGAGAGGGAGGAGAGAGGCGAGGAGAGAGGAGGAGAGAGGATGAGAGGGGGAGGAGAGAGGGAGGAGAGAGGATGAGAGGCGAGGTAGGAGAGAGGAGCGAGAGGGGGAGGAGAGAGAAGGAAGCAGGGGGAGGAGAGAGGAGGAGAGGGAGGAGAGGAGGAGGAGAGGGGAGGAGAGAGGAGGCAGGCAGAGGATGAGAGGCGGAGGAGAGAGAGGAGAGGGGGATTGTTAGAGAGAGGAGGAGGGGGAGGCAGAGAGGAGAGAGAGGAGGAGAGGGAGAGGCTGTGCAGAGGTGCCTCCTCTCGATCCATCCTCAACTGTCCATTTTGTCGGGACTTATTTTTGTATATATATATATATATATACAATTACATATATATATGTATACAGTATACTCTATAATAATGATAATATATCCTATAATAATATAATATATCTATAATAATATAATATATCTATAATAATATATCTATATCTATAATAATATATTAATTATATATATATAATATATATATATATATATATTGTGATTATCTACTCCTGGTCACAGTGCGTGCACATCGTTGTAACTGACCTCCACCTATCGGCCGTCGTCGTCGTCTCCGTTTCAGTTCGCACCGGCTCCCCAGCTACACGCACCGGGACCGCGCGATACGCTCGTGCATCACGCACGCGGCCGACGCCGTGGCGACGTCGAGGCAGCGCAAGGCAGACGATCCGGACAGCCTCGCCGTGATGAAGACGCTGAGGAAGGAGCAGACGCGGGTACGCGGGCGGGCGCTACCTGGTGGGCGGTGCGGTCGACTCCGCGAAACCGGGCTCGGCGATTGTCGATGCCGAATCGAGAGCATTTCGCCCGTTTTAAAAATTTTTTTTAATTAATATTTTTTTATTATTTAAAATTTTTAAAAATTCATAATATTTTTAAAATTCATATAACTCTCTATTTTATATTTATGTGAGGGTATGCCGTGGCGACGGAACGAGCCAAACGTGGCGAGGGAGTGATTAGAGAAATAGTTGCCGGAACGTCAACGAGATCTTACATCTTCTGTGGCTGCGTCCGTCCGTAGCTGGTCGTTTACAGTATTGTTGGGTAGGAGTTGCCATGGTGATGCAAGCTTGACGCTGCTTCTCGCTCTGTTTCAGCTACGACTGATGCAGAACGAACTTAGCATAGAAGAAATAATAATGGATCGGACTCTAAAGGTATTGTGTGTGCGTTCGCGAGTGAGTGCGCGCGTGTCTCGAGAGTATGTGATAGGGAAGACAGTGACATCTGGTTTACCCCTTACACCATGTGTGTGTGTGTGCATGCATGCGTGCGTGTGTGTGTGCGTGTGCACGTGTGTGTGTATGCATGGGTGAGTGTGCGCGTGTGCGTGCGGGTGTGTGCGTGTGTGTGCGTTTGTGTGTATGCATGTGTGCGTGTGTTTGTATGCATGTGTGCGTATGTGTGTACGCGTGTGTGTGTGCGTGTGTGCGTACGTGCGTGTATGTGTGCCTGTATGCGTGCACGCGTGTGTGTGCGTGCGTGCGTACGGGCACACGTGTGCGTGCGTGCGTACGTGCACACGTGTGCGTGCGTGCGTACATGCGTGTGCGTGCCGGTGCGCTACATCTCTCGCCACTCTGCAGGTGTTCCAGGAGAAGTGCAGGAACCACTACAAGCCAACGCACGGCCTCAAGTTTTCATGATGCTTCGCGTCGTCACGGAGACGGAAACGACAAAGTTCTTTCCCGGAGAGAGAGAGACGAGGAGGACGGAGGCAACTGACGGAGAGCCGTCGGCACGCAGGGATGTGGAACGACTGCCACGAGATCGAGGATAAAGTGTCACGAACATAGCCCATGAGCAGTTACAAGATATGCTGTTGCTGCTAGCTACAAGTTCTGTTGCTACTAGCTACAAGTTCTGTTGCTACTAGCTACAAGTGCTGTTGCTACTAGCTACAAGTTCTGTTGCTACTAGCTACAAGTGCTGTTGCTACTAGTTACAAGTTCTGTTGCTACTAGCTACAAGTGCTGTTGCTGCTAGCTACAAGTGCTGTTGCTACTAGTTACAAGTTCTGTTGCTACTAGCTACAAGTGCTGTTGCTACTAGCTACAAGTGCTGTTGCTACTAGCTACACGTTCTGTTGCTACTAGTTACAAGTTCTGTTGCTACTAGTTACAAGTTCTGTTGCTACTAGTTACAATCTACACAGTTGCTGTTGCTACTAGGCTACACAGTGGTGGTGTTGCTACTAGTAACAAGTGCTGTTCGCCTACTAGCTACAAGTGCTTTATTTGCTACTAGGCTACAAGATGCTGTTGCTACTTAATAGTACAGCTTCTGATTGCTATCTAGTTACAAGTTCGTGTTGTACTAGTTACAATGCTGATGCTATTAGCAACTACAAGTTCTGTTTGTTACTAGTACAATTCTGGTTTGCCTACTAGCTACAAGTGCTGTTCTACTAGCTACAAGTTGCTGTGCTACCTGTAACGAAAGTTCTGGTTGTACTAGCCTACAATTGCTGTTTGCCTAAACACATTAAAATATAATTTACACAACTTAATAAAAAAAAAAAAAATATAGCTACAAGTGCCTGTTGCTACTAGCTACACGTTTCTGTGCTACTAGGTTACAAGTTCTGTTCCTACTTAGTTTACAAGTTCTGTGCCTACTAGTTTAAATTGCTGTTGCTATAGCTACAAGTTCTTGTTGCTTAGCTAGTACAAGTGCTGTTGCTAACTTATGCTACAAGTTGCGTGTTGCTACTAGTAACAGGTCTGTTGCTTACTAGCTACAAGTGCTGTTGCTACTAGCTACCAGTGCTGGTTGCTACTAGCCTACACGTTTCTGTTGCTACTAGCTTACAAGTTTCTGTTTGCTACTAGTTACTAATTGCTGTTGCTATTAGCTACAAGTTCTGTTGTACTAGCGTACAAGTGCTTTGTGCTTCTAGCTTACAAGTTGCTGTGCTACTAGTAACAAGTGCTGTTTGCTACTAGCTACAAGCTTCTGTTGCTACTAGCTACAAGTGCTGTGTTGCTGCTAGGCTACAAGTTGCTGTTTGCTACTAGCTTACCAAAGTTCTGATTGCTGCCTAGCTATCAAAGAAGAAAGGGTTGCTGATGCCTGCTACGCTACAAGGTTCGTGCTTGCTACTAGCTACAAGTGCTGTTGCTGACTAGTTACAAGTTCTGTTGCACTAACTAGCTACAAGTGCTGCCTTTGCTTGCCTAGCTACAAGGTGCTGTTGCCTACTAGTTACAAGTTCTGTTGCTGCTAGCTACAAGTGCTTGTTGCTACTAGTCTGTTGCTACTAGCTACAAGTTCTGTTGTTACTAGCTACAAGTTCTGTTGCTACTAGCTACAAGTGCTGTTGCTACTAGCTACAAGTTCTGTTGCTACTAGTTACAAGTGCTGTTGCTGCTAGCTACAAGTTCTGTTGCTACTAGTAACAAGTTCGGTTGCTACTAGCTACAAGTGCTGTTGCTACTAGTTACAATTGCTGTTGCTACTAGCTACAAGTTGTGTTGCTACTATAGTTTCAAATGCATTACTACTAGTTTCACAGTAGCGATATTGAAGCAATTCAGTCAGTTCTCGCTACGAGTGAAAAGTGTGATGATGGTAATATAATTGCGATTTCTGGCACTAGTACGCACACGGAATCAAATATTCGTGTAGAGTTGCTCAGTGCATTTGCACCAACTCAGACTACACACTGGCATGGGTCGTGATGTGTTGTTGTTTTTAGAAAATTAAATTGTTAGTCACGTATACATGTGTTCATGATTGAATGATCTATGTGTTATCTTATGGAAATCATAGATGTACTCAAGTTGTACCCAATTAGAGTTATAAAAGTAGAGCTATTTAGATAGAGGTATATAGAGTTATAAAGGTACAGGTTTACATGTAGATTTTCACAGCTCTACAGGTAGAGTTATATCGGTAGATTTACAGGTAGTTATACAGATATGTTTTCACAGTTACACGGGTAGAGTTACTACACGGGTAAAGCTATACACAGTTAGGTTTTCACAGCTATGCAGATAGGTCATGGGTGACCATGGACAGACAAGTGACGTGATGTATGGTGATAGAGCAGATGGCCAGATGTAGGCGCGTGCATATCAAATTTCCGATCTCGGCAATTCGTTTGGGAAGCAGTGCAGAGCTATAATATATATAAATATATATCAGGAGTAGATAAAGGGGAATTCCCCTTTATCTACTCCTGATATATATATATATGTGCGAGTGTGTCATTCCTAAGCATCGGAAACTCCCTTTTCACATATTTCCCATCCCGGAGCATCGGTCCTACTTTCTTCCGCATCGGAGACCCCCCTTTTCACATATTTCCTGTCCCGGAGCAAAGGTCCTACTTTCTACCACATCGGAGAAGCCCCTTTTCACATATTTCTTGTCCTGGAGCAAAGGTCCTACTTTCTACCACATCGGAGACGCCCCTTTTCACATATTTTCCATCTCAGAGCACAGGTCCTACTTTCTTCTGCATCGGAGAAAATGCAGTGTTCATGTTTTTTTGCAGTGAACACGTGAAATTCCCATCCTACACTTCCATGTATGTATTTCAATAATGTAGCAGCGACTTTGATCAGATATGGCAACCTCGCGCCATCTATCGGTAGAAATAATTAATATGCACACATTGTATCTAGGTGGACCCGACGCCATTATTGAAATACATACATCGAAGTGTAGGATGGGAATTTCACGGCCAAACCTTTTCCAATCTTATCCAGTAAATGTTGTTATATATAGGTACTGTAATTATATTAATTCCACTACGTTAAATACGTTTTAGAGTATTATAATACCTTTAATAATGCATTTTACGGTTACACACAACTTACAATGTGCGCATATGAATTATTTCTACCGATAGATGGCACGAGGATGTCATATTTGACATATCAATGATATCCCCTCTGTGCGCGAACTCCGCGTGTATGCACACCAGTTTGCGTGATAAATGTATTTTATCCTGTACAATGTATTTTATCATGTATTTATTTCTCGTACTATAGATTTCTTTTATTTTTCTCTACTTAGTATACTCTTCTCTCTCCCTCTCTCTCTTTTTTTCTCAATCATCCGGCCACTGGCCTCCCTACTCCTCCCAATCATTCCCCTCCTGCGCCCCGCATCCTTTTCTCCCGTCTCCCGCCCCATTCTCTCCCGTCTCCCGTACCCCGCCCCCTGTAACCTCACCTCCTGGACAGACGAGCAGACGATTATATATGTATAAATCCGTAGTTACTAGGTCTATGGCTTTACAATTTCTTCCTATACCACCAATACACTTACGTTATCTATTCGATTCGAAACGGTGAAAAGAGAGCTTGGAATACGTCTTTTACGGGCAAGGGCGGTTTGGGTGATGGATATGGCCCAGTCATATGTATTTAATACAAGAGTACAACGCAGGCAAACCAAACCAAAGATGAATAAGGCAGCTAACAAAGAAATCAAACAAAGACGAACAAGGCATCTAAGAACTCAAACAAATATGAATATGGCATCTAAGAACTAAAGCAAAGATGAAGAAGGCATCTATAAGAATTCAAAACTTAATTTTAAATTAGAATACAATCAATTGAACGGAGTTTAGTGAGTTTAACCATAGTTTAGAAAATTTAGGTTAGACAGGCACACCGGAAACGATCGAGGGCGGTTTGAGAAATGGAAAGTCAAACGAGTGTTTTTCTATGATATAATAACGCACCTACAGCATCCGATACCTTGGGTCTGGCGTGCTATACACTGTAGTAGTCATATACGTAATATTAAGAGTTACTGAAGACAAATTTTGTCTTCATTAACTCCTGATAATATCGGGGATTAATAATGACAAATTTGTCATTATTAATCCCGGATATTATAAATGTTATCAGATATCATATATAATATAACACGTGGTAGTAGTTCTCTCAGTGTAGAGCACGGCAGACCCAAGGAGCTAAATATAACAGCTCCATAATTTAATATAACTTATAACAGCTCACATACAAAATGATATATTTAGCCAGAGCATATAAATTACTATATATGCTCTGGTGATTTATATGCTCTGATTTAGCTCCTTGGGCAAGACCCAGGGTAACCGGATAACACCATCAGATGTCCTATCACGTGATCGGAGCGTGATGCGTGAGGCGGTCAGGCGGACCGTGTGCGCAAACGCAGCATTCGAAGCAGTATCGTTCTCGTTGGAAGCGTAAAGTTGCTGATGAAACTTCCCAAATTTCTACAAAAGGACGCACCTATGTGCAGGTCGAACATCGTCGAAACGTTACAAGGTTAGTAAATGTTGTTTTCTCGGCGTTAAAATGTGCTCACACTCAATACTTTATTATCTTTAGGACGTTATGTGCGAGTAATTTTCCGCGCCACAAACGTCGCGGGTAATGCTATCCCCCGGGCGTAGAGGGAGGTGACCGCAACGTGGCAGCACTAGTGTTAGGATAATGTTAGGATTAGGGTTAGGGTCAGGGTTAGTGTTAGGGTTAGGGTTAGTTTTTAATTTTTAATTTTTAATTTTTAAATTTAAATTTTAAGAGTTAGGGATAGTGTTAGGGTTAGGGTTAGGGTTAGGATTAGGATTTTTGCATCATGATATCTATCCCCACACCACAGATTAATTTTTGTGGATCACATTGCCCATATATACCGCTGCGTTAACTATATAATTGGTGGTAGGTTTAGTGTTGGAACTGGGCTGCTGACTTCGACTCCACCGTTAGGGTTAACATTTTGAAACGTCAGGTCGTCACGTTATCGACGTGACCGGTCCTCTACGCCCGGCGGGAGTCGGCAACAACTCCAAACGTTCGGCAATCTGTCCGCCATTCCTACAAGCACGGCCATCATTACTTGATAATTTGGCGACATGTTCTATGTTAATTGAAAAAGGCCTCGTCAGTTTGGTATCGCAAATAGCGCCAAATTTAGCAGAAGAGAATCGATAGTACGAGCGGGCCGGGTTCTAACACATACTCGGTTGAAAAAACCGTTTGTTCGGCTCTTGAAAAAAAGACAAAAAAAAAAAAGTAAACGATCTTGCTCTGAAATAGGGGCCTGTTTTTGTTTTTCGTTCTGTTGTGTATTTCGTTTTGTTTCACCGAGGTTTCAAATTTCGGTTGTTGCTGTGTATTCTCGTTCTGGTGTCTCGGTGTGTCCGAGGATTTGTGTCCCAGCCCCATAATGTAAGTAGACAAATACCATCGTAATACATGAAGTTAAATTTCAGGATCGCTTTTGCCATAGTTTCCCGCGAGATTATATGAGATGTCCGAGTTGAATTTCATTCCGAGCAGGATTTTTAGTTTTTGGAAGTCTGCAATGCTGGTACAGTGTACGGGTGTCTGTGAACACCGAATCTGTCACAAGCGTGCCGTCAGCGAGCACGTAAATATTACGTCGTCCCGCAACAGAGTCAAATATGCGTAGAAATAAGCGATCCGCCAAAAACAACCACGGCATATTACCTGGTCCGCACACAGTCGGAAACATGCGAAGCCGTATATTACGTTTACCGTTATACCCATTCACATCTATCTATCTTTCTAACTTTGGAAGTCCGTCATTATCAACCAGTACAACAAATAAAACATTTCTGTGTGGGTGGTGTGTAGTTTCACTGTGATCGCTTGCCAACAAATGTTTAATCGTGTGTTAACGCTGTAAGCCATGATTGCAGCATGTATTTGTAATTGGATCATCGTCAACCAGCGGCTCGACATTAACCGACGGCACCGGACCGGCCAAATTGCGTTCTGTGCCGCGCTATCAATGGTCGCCGTACTGCCCTGAAAATCCAAACCGACCGGACGGCAGTCACGGTGCGCTTGGCCTTTTGTGTAATGTGCCATCGGCTGCGCCTTAATCTAGCTGCCCTAGTTTTTGGTTTTTAGTCGGAATCAACAAACACGTGCGCGTGCGTGGGGCTGTAAGTGGCAATGATGAGATAAAAACCGATAGTCCAGGAGGAGAATAATAACTAGCATCGCGGATAATATTGCGTCCTGATAGCGGCATGTTAAATTTCTTTACCGTTACTGTACTTCCATAGAGCCAGGGGGGTAGCCAGGAGTCGTGTTCCGGCTGTAAGCTTACATGGGGGCATATTGTTTTGTACATTAAAGGCCTTCTTATAGTGATATCTCTAAATTGATGCAAATTTTTACAATTATTTGAAAGCTAGTATCAACCACGTAATAACCAATAGACGATTCGTATATTTTTGGTGCCCTCTGTGATTTATGAAACACGACGTCTTGATGCGTTGGGTTCTATGAATTGTTGAAATCATTTATTCTGCCAAACCGGCCACCAGGTGGGAAAACGGCGCTGGACGCTCCAGTGCTGTTCTCCCGTGTTTGCATCGACACACAAAAGCCTGCATCACTGCATAGATGACACAAAGCGATCCCTCGCTGATAGCTTTATAAGTATTAATAACCAAAGATATGAACTTACGAATACCACTTGAATAGTATTATGTCCCAACTATCATATTAATTAGTCTCTATGAGCATGCGATATCCTAGAATGATATATACAGTGCTGCGAACATAAGCTATGTCGCGGCTTGTCCGAGACAACCAGAATTTGTGCGGACAAACCTAACGCAGTCTGAGACATTGTCCGGAGTGCAACCAAAGAAAAAGTTGACTGAAAGCGTACTTTATCTTATGTTTTTTTGTACGTGGTTCTCCAAGAAGACATTATAGCCCTGGCCGGCGCGCCATTATCTTATGGTGCTGTAAAGCGACGGCATACGCAGCCTGCTATTGTCCAACACTGGTATAATGTCAGATTTTCTGAATTTATGAGAGGTGACCTCGAGTTTGGAACGAGCCCAAACCAGCAAGTCATCACCCCTACATTTGGTATTTTTATGTCGCATTATTATTTTTGCAATTTTCCGATGGCTTTGCCCTGCAAAATACAAACAACATGGGCAGTGCGGATTCGATAGTTGTCCGAAAATTAAAAAGAGAGAAATTGTCGTAGTCAGAATGAAGCTGTATCATGTACTCAAAAGTTGCAAATACTATCTTCCTGCCAATCTACATTTTCAAAATTTTCTGAGGGCGCGACCCCATACCCCCCGCTTGTTTTTCACCCCTCGCTTAGAATCCCAGCGCCAACCCTGAACAATTATATATCTTAGTTGGGAGCAGAAGAGACAATAGAACAAACAATGTCGCCTATCACATGGCACCAAAACAAGATGCAGGAGAAGTAGAGTGAGGCCGTAGGTGTGGAGAGCGGAGGCGGCAGGAGCCATTAAAAATATTAAGTCAGCCACTAATTTTGCGCAGTTTGCTGGTTTTTGGCCACCACTATGTTAAAAAATCTGGCCTACACCCCTGTTTTTAGGTGTTTTCGTGACCTATTATTATCGTTGCAAGTTGAGAAATAGGAATTTCGGCGGAATTTTTTGGGACAACCAGAAATTGTATGCGTGACGCAACCCGATTTGATGCCTGGGGTTGTCGCAGGACAACCACTTATGTTTTCCTATTTCGAGTCAAGCTGCACTATCCCATTCCCAGTGAAAATAAATCCCAATCCGGTTCTCCGAAGTGTATGGTAGACATGTTATTGCAAGAACTTCAAGTAAGTTTACGGTTTTAAACCACTACATAAATACTAATGATTTACATACTATTAATTTATCTGGACATAATTATAAAAAGAAAGAAAAGTAATTAAATAAATACTTAGCGCAGAAATTGACATGATCTTACGACACAATTTGGACCCAGATTTTCGAGGGTCTTTCCCCCCGTGCGCTTCTGTTCCCCGAATCACCGGAAAATTTTATCTGACATTCCCAGTTCCCAGGTAATTAAAATGGCCAAGTGCCCGCATTCCCGAAAATATACCCCCCCCCCTTGCTAGTAGGAGTCTAGTAAGTTTAGCCTCATCTGACGTAGTCAGATACAGCTTGTAGAATCGCAATGATCGTCCGTTGCGTGCGTCAAACAGTTGCGGCACAAATCTTAACCGTTCGACGTACGGTCACGATATTCGGGACGTGGGGGGTAATCCAAAAACGAGTTGGGATGTCGAAGCTGGGGGTCAAAGGTCAAAGTCAATAGGTGTAAAAGAAGGGGAACATTCCCTCAACTTAAGGTATGAGGGAGGAAATGCAGAATTGCGGCAAAATCTAAAGCGGCTCGACCTAGGCTCGTGATAGTCGGTGTATGTATCATGGTAGGAAAAGCCATCACTGTGCGCTAAATTGGAGCGTCACAGGTCAAAGGTCAATGGGGCACGCAGGGCAGATTTTAGGACATTTTCTGGAGGACATGGTTCTGACGGAGCGATAAAAAACTTTTTTGTTCACGGTGACCTAGCTGTATTTTTATGGCTTATTGAAAGGAGCATGAAATGTGCTTTTTTTCTGACATGCGAAGAGTTAAGTGTCAGATAACCTTTTGACCCTCAAAGGAGAGGGTTAAACTGATTTGTTTCTCAACTGCGCGAGTCAATGTCGTTGGTGGAAAGCTCGATCCTATTTTACAGTGAATTCACACATAACTCTTACTTGAACAACGCTTATTTAGGAGATAATGAGACGAATTATATATGAGATTCTGTAGTGTACACAGCCCTCGACACTAACGGTTGTCCGGATTTGCCCGGGGACAGAGTGAAAGTGCTATGTTCGGACTAAGTTACTCTCTTTGCCGTAGTTGCCGACCTACCGGGGAGAGCAACTGAAAAAGTTCTTCGTTGTTGTAATTATTCCTTAACATCCTCCTGAGCCAGGGCGCTATCAGGCAACCCAACATTCTCCACTTTCAAACGTTTTTCAAAAGTCCCCTGAAAAAGCAGCCCTGCGCATCGACGCTCCTGTTGTACCTATTACAAGAATTATTCAGAGCGGCAATGCTACGTACCTCCCTGGCGCGGGGGCGGCATTGATTTATGTACTGGGGTGGGGGTTACGATTGGTTTATAGTCGGTTGGGGCAAATATTCATTACTGAATATGTTAAAGGGGGGGTTGGGCCAATTGCTGGGATCGAGAGGAACGACAGCAAAACTGCTTTTTCCTTGATTGAGGAAAAGCTGCAATCGGCAATGACACACCAATGAGCGTGCAGCAGCAAACATAAACGTGTGCATTTATTGTAAGTGTAATAGAGTACCGAAGTGTGACGTCACCGTTGGCAAGAAACACGCAGGCGCTGGTTCTACACAAAGCACTGGCTCATAAGGTTTACTCCGTGAAAATGTTTGGCGTACGTAAACACGAGTGTGTGCGCTGCAGACAGCGGTAAAGC